CATTGCTACCATTATACAAAAAAAACCGTCCCTCAAAAGTGACATAATGTCTAAAATATTATGTCACTTAATATAAAATCGCCCCCTTACAAAATACAGAGACACGAATATCCCAGTACATCATTTTGTACTGTAGAAGATTCCATTAAATTATGATAGCATGGAAATAAGTACATTCACCCATCGCGCAGTAATTTCGCTGAGAAATTATACTCCTTTGAAATTATATTTGCACTTCATTACAGGAACCTGTATACTGGTTCTCACTTATCCATAGATAATCTCATTTGTAACTACAGCTAATCGGAAAAGTTGGATCGTTGTTAAAAATAAGTTTGTGAAATTTAAAAATCGATTTTAGATTTTAAATTTTACGACACGTGTAGGACTTGACCTCGACACGGTAGCTCGATTGATTAAACTTTAGAACAACGAAATATTAACGTTTTCAATAAGTTATTTTTGGCGTTTTAAACCGTAAAAATTGTTTTATGTAACGAAAAAGATTGGCTTTTTCGTCTAATGATAGGATGGTAGCATGTATGGCTGATGATCAACGGAACGTAAGTCCCCGCTGGGCCCAATATGTTTCTAATTATATTTTTTCTGAAACATATTAGCATATCGTATCAGCACTTCTCGCACAATGTTATTCCACCGTAATAGGGTTAGATTAAATTTCTATTTAAAAAGAAAAACAAACGACGATCAGTAACGCTTGAATCATATTACGTGATTATACAGGGTTTATTTTAGTTCTAAAAATTATATTAAGGACATATATAAGGGGCTAAAGGGTGTTATATGGTAGTATTTATTTTTATTTATTTCCAGTTTTTTTTTTTTAAAGGGGTATGAAATGTACAGCGTATAGCCGCGACTATACAATATGTAACGGTATTTTATAAACAGCTGATCCTTTGAGGTATCCTCTAACGTCGTGAGGAATGAATGATGATGACGATTTAAATAAATGTATGTTATTTTAGAGCGATCCAATAAGCTATAATCAAAAAGGTTTCACGTAAAATACATCACAATTCTATAATGTTTATTTGGACTGATGTAGATCAATTAATATTTCACGTGGCGTCCCAATTATGCTGAGTGGGCCTGTCAGAGATGAATGAAGTTTATGGCTTGCGGTCCAAATTGATGTCCTTGAATTATTTCATTGATTCGGTGGGTCTCAAAAGTGAAACTGTGTAATAAACTTTGATTTTATTCAAACAACAGAAAAACGATTTTAAAAGAATTACGACACGGGCAGAACTCGAACTGACATCCACAGCGTTTCGTGCTGTTGCTTTAATCAATTAAACTACGTTATTTGTTAGAGCAACACGGAACCGGTCTTGCCCGTGTCGTATTTTTTATTTCAAAATCGATTTTTAATTTATTTAGTGCCATCATGTGAAAAATATTGAAGTTTCCTAACATGTAAACTCAAGGTTTTTGTTGTAAAAGATTGCTTTTTGCTGGTATAATGGTTGTGGGTTGTTTTTTGGCTATTTTCGTGTCTTTTCTCACTAAACGGTTTTTATTTACTGGAGAGTGACCAGAATTCACATCTTTTAATCTAGCTCTTATAACCATTGAGTTACAAAGTTTTGTTATCTTGCTAAACTATCAAGATATTTAATTAACAAAAGAACTGAACGAATAAGGAAAAATAATAACATAACTAAAACTAATAAAAATTATTTCATACTTCTATATGATAGAGTAGGACAGACGAGCTCCCTCCAAGAGAGAAACCCCATGGTTCACTTGATGGAAGATGAAATCTGGGGTATTTCAAATAAAATCTCAATAAATGCGGTGTACATCTAGTTTGGCTTTGGATATTCGGAAATCTACAGAGTAACACCGAAACGCAATTAATATGACGGCTTTCGCATTTGTGGATGGCGACTGGTGTTCGCTACGACCCGGAAATTTCGATCCACCATTTAATACCAACATGTTTCAATTCACGACCACTTTCAATTCGATACCACGATCACCAACGATCCCATCAATCTACTTGATGATGATGATGATAAGTTATTATTATTTAACTGGATATATAAAGATTACCAAGTAAGGATAAAACGGATTACCAAAGAACCAATTAATGACATCAATATAGTAGATAAAAAATTCTTAGTCAACAATTCTTCCTTATTACAATATTTCTCGTGATTAATTAAGGTTATTTCCGTGCCGTACTTGTTACTGTTTTTCTTCTCCTTTAGTTTATCCTCTTAGTGAATTACATTATTTTGTTATATAACGTCTTCGTCAGATCTTTGAGGTTGGGGCCTAGGGAAAGGTAAAGGTAAGGCCATAATCTACCATGTACACGTCATAATTTTGTTTTAAGACACGCCAATTTTGTTCTTGAAAATAAAAAAATAAATTATTGTCTTTCGAGCGAGTCGCCAAGAGCTATATGACTTTTGAAAACATTAATATTTTTCATGAGTTTCACATTTTGCACATGAAGGCACTATATTATTTAAAAATCACAATAAATTCAAAAAAACACATTTTTTTTCTTTTTCTCAGTGACTCGGTGACTGGGTAGCTCAATTGGTAGAGCAACAGCACGGAACGCTGACGATGCCGGTTCAAGACCTGCCCGAGTCGAACATTTTTTCAATTTATTTTCCATTTTTGAGCTATAACATTTTTTTATAAAAAAGTTTAATTCTTCGACTAATCCATGAGTTAACAACATCTCCTGATGATGCCGTTCGTTCGTGTTACATGCTCGTGATGTCGGAACGTCGAGAATCTTTTCTCAAAGCTCACATCTGCCGAACAGACCGAAAAACAATGATATGGCCAATGGCCGTAAAAGCACTGAATTTAATAAAAAAAACCTTAATAGCACAAACAAATCTATACTAATATATAAAGCTGAAGTGTTTGTTTGTTTGTTTGAACGCGCTAATCTGAGAAACTACGGGTTCGAAAATTATTTTTGAGTTAGTTAAAGTCGCTGACACAGCTAGTAATATATAAAGTAGTAAATTACTTAATAACATTAACAGTTAGTGCGAAGAATTACTTATACCTCTCGTACGGCGTTTTTCTATTTTCTACCAGCATCCTTTGTATAAGGCAAAGAGGAACAATAAAAAAGTAAAGATGTTGCAGAGGAGAAAACATGGAATAAACTTACATATGTATTCTTACTTATAAAATTCTGCAAGATTGGCCTTTACTTACTTTAAAAGTCAGGTTATACTAATACGTCGCTTCTTATACAACAGATCTTAAGAAATATGTTAATAATAAATTAGTGCTACCAGCTTACTTTTTTGTACGTTACGTTACGGACTCATTGGTCTAATGGTAGCAATATATATCTAATAATCAATGGGTCGTAATTTGATCCCAACCGGGGCCAACATTTAATACGTTTAAGAATTTTCTGAAATATGTTTGACTTTGGGTGGTAGGAATATCGAAATTCCATTCGGGCCACGAACCACCGTCCAGAGATGAAGAAGCTGTGAAGTTTAATCACGTTTCTGTTTCAGTCTGATTTCCAAATGTCCAAAGCCTAAATAAGTCGACAGCATATATCATTTAGATGTTATATGGCTGCGGTATTTCAACTAAGATCGAGTGAACCGCATAAAGCTTGTCAATCATAAAGGTCTAAATTACAAAGATAACAGCTACTAATTGAAACACCGCGTTTTAAACCGTTAAAGTGCTTTATTTAAATGTGTACTACTCGCGTAAACTATAGACAGTATTTAGCTACTAATTGTCCCAGAAACCCAGTTACACCACTAATATAGTGACGGTAGTTAAAGCCCGTCACACATTGGAGCCACATTGGAGCAGTGGAGCATGGAGAAGATAGCCCAGCTGTGGGACTTTAAAACGGAAGTGACTAATTGTCTTTAATGGTTGCATGAAATTACATGATTAATGAAACAACACGCCCTTTCCAAGGAAAAGCGATGGGAAAATACATCGCGTGTCTTTCTTTCAATGAGACCAAGTACCTGAAGCAAGGACTTAGAAAATATATAAAATGCAATTTCCTGAATCCACCGCATCAATATACAACAATCTTATCTTTGAAACACTTGGATATCTTGATAAAGTGAGTTTTTTCATATCTATACAAATATAAATTTGGTTGTTTGTTTGAACGCGCTAATCTCAGGAAATACTAGTTCGAATTAAAAAGATATATCTGTGTTGTTTAGTGCATTTATCGAGGATAGCTTAATAAAACGTCACACTGTGACTTAAAGGAATAGAGGGGAATGTGGAAAAATCATTTTGAGGCTTTCTAAACTAAATAATATGTTTGAAAGTTTATCCTTTAAATTATCCACGTCGTGGGTAACAGCTATAATCTATAATTGCTTGCAAAAATATATAATATGATGCCCAAAATATCTATTCTATGTGGACGAAGTCGCGGGCACAGCTAGTTATCAATGAAACAGTGGGGCATCAGGCAGGATTTTATTTACAAGCTTGCGCTGTGCTTTAAACTTTCTTGTGCCTTTACGCGAGTAGTACAGATTTAAATAAAACACTTTAACCGTTTAAAACGCGATATATTAGCGTTTTAAACCGTTAAAGTGTTAGTTACGATTAATAAAAATCGTAATATTGTAGTAATTTCGTGGTAAACTATGTAGTTAGTTATTCATGTTTATTAAATGTTTTATAGTATAGTCCTTTACCCTGTACGACCACTTTTTTTGCTTGTTTTTGTTACGTAACGCGTTACGAACCGATTTTTTGATACATATTTTCACAAAGATTAGTTTGTATTATCCTTCTGTCGGGTGTGACTGAACGCACGACAAAAGTGACTAATACACTATATACCGTCTTTGGAGGCTGTGGGAATGATAATCGTGATTCTAGTAGTTGGCTGGTTTGTTATAAATTTTATACCTTTTTTTAAGAAAAGGTACGTCATGTATTTACAATCAATAAGTTCTTTACTACTAATGCCTCACTTAACTAATTTCAGTATGAAGTCCCTTCTGTTTACTGCTCTCCTGGTAACCGCAGTCACGATTGTAGCAGCGCAGAAATATACAAATAAATATGACGGGATAAACCTGGATGAAATATTGACTAATAAAAAAGTCTTAACGGGTTATGTCAACTGCGCCCTGGATAAGGGAAGATGTTCAGTTGACGGAAAGGAGTTAAAATGTAAGTCATCGTTAAACTTTATAAACATATATTATATACTCCTAAAAAGTCATGTTTCCCTTTTAAATTTTAGATATAAAAATTAAAATGTGTCAATATTTTATTGTTAATCTTTAAGTGTTTCATGTTACAACTTTTTAAATGCTTTTTTTATGATAAAGATGACAGATAGTGTACACATGATAGGTAAAATATCCCAGCCATAGAACATCTAGACAAGTATACTACTATCCAACTAAAACTACTATGACGATGGCGCTTTATACACCCATAGTATATTTTTTCTAACTTGCATTTTTAATAAACAAACATACTTTCTCGCAAGGTTTAAATTGATTTACACCAAAAAACACTGTAAGACACTAGATTATAAATTAAATTAATAAAACTATCAAATTCACTTACTGAAAACTTAAATTGCATGTCAAATTAATAAAACCCCTAAAAATTATTTAATGTACAGATTAAAATTTCTTTAGCTATTTATAGTCTGTATATAATCCATGATTCTTTAACCCTGTGTAATCTGTGGCATCAACTACACTCTGTAAATTGTTACTGGGTCTATGGTTTGAAATCGGCCATATTAGTTTTGTCTTTTTATAGTTAAGAATATACACTGTACATAAACTAATTATATGCTGTCTGCAGTTTACGCAAATAGTACACATTTATATAAAACACTCTAACGGTTTAAAACGCGTTATATATTAGTTAATTTATTAGAAATTATTTCAACTACGGCCCGACGTTTCGGATGCTTCGCAGGAGCCGTGGTCAAAGGGAGACCGCGTAATACGTATAATTCAAATAAGTTTAACTAATATCTATCGCGTTTTAAGCCGTTAAAAGTTTGATTTAAATTATATGTCAATATTTTTCAGCGCACATAGCGGACGCACTTCGAACCGGCTGCAAAAAGTGTACTGAAGCCCAAAAGCTCGGAACGCAGAAGGTCATCAGGCACCTCATAAAACATGAAAAGGAGGCCTGGGCTAATCTTCAGAAGAAATATGACCCCGTTGGTATTTACGCAAAAAAATATGAAAGAGAACTCAAAGGGATTTAAGCTTGAACTAAAACCGAAGAAGACAACGAAAGAAATTCTGTGATAGTTGTGTTTTCAATTGTTGATATTTTTATGAATATAGATTAAAAATAGAGATTTGTTTAATGATGATATTGTTGTTTAATTGCAAAAACACATTTTGCGTACTCGTTACAATATGCAGAGTTATTTTGTAAGATTATTTATAACATATTTGCTCGTAAAGTGGTTGTAATTACACCAATTTCAATATCGTAGTGTATCTCATTACGTACTTGTGCGATAATGTAATGTAATGTAAAAGGCACGTGTTTTTTTAAAATAAAGTTTTAAGATACTCCGTCTAAAAATTAACGATACTTTTAAAAATCATAGCAAAGAGGTTTTATGTCAAGAAAGTGGTCAATATTTTATGAATAAAATTAACTTTGGTACATAAAGTATAAGAAATAAACATTATATTCTTTATTTTAATTAATTTTGACAATAATTTACAACCATTTATCTATAACAAAAACACAAAAATATTAATTTACTTTATTAGTAATACTGGCTGTTTTTGTACCTTTGCCTAAAAAAAAAACGTTGATGCGCGCGCATCGCTTATTTGTGGACAAGTAAAAATAATTCCGCGCGCTTTTTCTTTTCGCTGTATTGTTTTTATTTGAAAATGTCGTCAAGTAGTGATGAATTTTTTAATTTGACACCACCACAAGTCTTAATTGGGGCGAAAAAGGCTACTCAGTACTCACACTAGTCACATAGTCCTTCCACTCAAATGTATAACTAATTTGTGGTACTAATTTTGAAAGTGTGTGAAAATATACGCGAGTGTTAAATATTAAAACAGTAATATAATAAAAGTGTGTGTTACACGCGACATATCGTGGTGTTTATGTGGTTATAATTCAGTGTTATCTTAATTAGTCTGCGCCATGATGGCGTGCCACTTTGAAATTCAAATATCCTCTGGTTTTCTAATTCGCTACCCTTATTAAATTTTCCAACAGGTGTTGCATTTTTATGAACTTACGGGGCTTTTTAACGTAAGCATTAGGAGCTATGTCTACTTGAATATAACATGGGGAAAGGGGAGGTCATTAATAAATCTATCACATAAATAATCGTATCTCTGTAGTTTACTCTAGTAGTACACATTTAGATAAAACACTAACGGCTTAAAACGCGACATATATTAATTAAAATTATTTTAACTATGGCCCGACGTTTCGAATGCTTTGCAGCAGCCGTGGTCGCGGGGAGACGGTAAATTTAACTAATGTATTTCGCGTTTTAAACCGTTAAGTATATTTATTTAAAAGTGACTTTTAATTAAATATTTCGTTTTTAGGGGCTAATAATGATTATTTAGAAGTCGTGTTTTAAACGGTTAAAGTTGTAATTTTAAAACTGTTAGCGTAGACTAAACTTGTCCCACGCTAAGTTCTCTCCCAATTTGCTTAAGTTAAGTTAACTTATCGCGTTTTGAACCGTTGAAGTGTTTTATTTAAATCTATCACGTATTTAAATAAAACACTTTAACGGTTTAAAACGCGATAGTTAAACTTATTGTTAAAACATTTTGAATGCGGCACTTTGCAGCAGCCGTGATCACGGTATCCATGTGACCGCGGCTGCTTTATTTAAATGTGAACTAATCACGTAATTTACAGTGTGTATTACGTAATTTATGTGGAAAAAACGGGATAATTATGCATCTTAAAGAGTTAGTCTTACGAGCTACGAAAAGGGTTTAAGTACGCTAAAATATACATATTTTCTTTTAAACATAAGATTTAGTCTTCTTTAAAAATATCTTAAACTAAATACTATCTATAGTTTATGCGAGTAGTACACATTTAAATAAAACACTTTAACAGTTTACAACACGATATATTAGTTAAACTTGTCTAACCGTGACCACGGCTGCTGCAAAGCATCCGAAACGTCGGGCCGAAGTTAAAAATCATTTTCAAATAAGTTTAACTAATATATCGCGTTTTAAACCGTTAAATCTTCTTTAACCTAAGAAAATTTCCACAACTGTACGTGCCTGTCTTTTAACCCACAAGAACCCCCATTTATAACAATCAAAATTTTGGTTAAAACACTTTATATAACAAAAGATCAAAGAGATAGATTTTAAAATATTTGCTTATGGTCCTTCAGACATGAGGATCTCGGAAGTCAGAAATTAGAGCTATGTTGTCGAAGTCGATCTATCTGGAGATATATGCCCGATATGATCAAATTAAAAACGTATTGTCATCCGATACAAATAAAACTAAAATAGATATAGCCCCTGAAAAAAACTTTTGTTCTTGGTTATAAAGACCTTTTGTATAATAATATTAATACCAAGCAAAATATGTTTATAGCCTTAGCAAAAATTAAATAGAGAACAAAGAAAACAATAATGTGGTCTCATTTATATCCCACGCAACGGTTGAACAAACCTCCAAAGGCCCTAGGAAGTAAATTACACTTGCAAACAAAGGTTCTGGCTGAGGTCTCGTGCAAAAGACAGTTATGTCTACATGACTTGCTTTCGGTTTAAAAGCGTGGGGCGAAAATTTTCGATGTTGTCTGTACTAATATTATAAAGCTGAAGAGTTTGTTTGAACGCGCTCATCTCAAAAACTTCTCTTAAATAAAACACTTTAACCGTCTAAACTCTAAAACGCTATATATATTAGTTAAACTATGTATACAGTTTAAATATTTCGCGTTTTAAACCATTAAAATGTTTTATTTAAATGTGTACTATTAGCGTAAATTACAGACAGTATTCAAAGACTACTTGTTCGAATTAAAAAAAAACTAAGAAACAAAGGAAAATGTGAAAAAGTAGACAAAACTGTTTATCTTTCAGGGCTTCCGTTGCATTTGCTGTAAAAACGATCCAAAAACTCGAACCAAATATATATGGAAGAATAATTCTTATTTAAATGATCTAAAAATTATTAGCAAGAATGACGGGACTCGAACGACATCGAGGGTATCTATGATTTAAAGCTTGGAGGACGTTGTTTGCGAAAATAAATATTAAATGCCTAAAATAACTACTCCACGCGGACGAAATCGCGGGAACAGTCAGTTTCCACGCCTATCGGGACTTTTTCCAAAATACATAGAAACAGTTTTGTTTGTGCGATTTAGTGGCTAACAGTGGCTAAACGAGGATTTTAATCAGACAGGGCATAAAAATGTGATCAGTTCTAGAGGCATTTTTTACATAAAATACTTCGACTAATATGAGAGGAGTACAAATGAGAAATGTTTGAAAACTACTTGCGCTTATAAACGCTGTATGGAACTTCTAATTGTTTGCAACGGAAGGTCTATATTTGAGATTTTTGCGGCTGACAACTATAATGAGATACTGTAGTTTACGCGAGTATTACACATTTAAATAAAACACTTACGGTTTAAAACGCGATATATATGACTTAAACTTATTTGAAACAGTCACGGGGAGACCTCGGCTGCTGCAAAGCATCCGATCCGTCGGGCCCAAGTTAAAATAATTTTCAAATAAGTTTAACTAATATATATCGCGTTTTAAATCATTAAAGTTTTTTATTTAAACTATAATGAGTTTATGAGGTTTTTAATAGTATTATTTATTGAAGGGCAGATAAGCGTTGAGTACACTTGATGGTAGGTAAAATAACCAAGCCTTATAACATCTACACAAGTTGCGCTATCGACCTATATGCCTTTTATACTCGGAAATCCACAGACTGAAACCAAAACTCGATTAAACTTCACGTCTTTACAAGTGGTGTGTTAATATCCAAATTTTCAGGCGAAGTCTAAAATGTTTCAGAAAAATTATGAATTGATACGAAAATGTTAGACCAGTTGATTATTAGCCTAACATTGCTACCATTATACAATCGTGCCCGACTACAATGTACCTAAGAATGTTGTTAACATCACAAAATGAAACGAAAATTTTCCTTCTTTATGCCCGTTTGTAGGGACTCAAAATTTCGACTCAACGATAATATTAATGTAAATTTAGAAAGACCATTACTAACGCATTAAAACGCGAAATATATCAGTTTACTTTTTAGTTTTATTAAACCATGGGCCGACGGTTTGGATGCTTTGCAGTGGCCGTAGTCACGGGGCGACTGAAGATGGAGGGTGTGTCAAAGTTAAAAGTGCTACGCTACCGCCATCTGTCTCGTCGAATTTAATTCCGAACTAGCTGAAAAAAATACCACCTCCTACGAAACAGATGGCGCATAGTAAACTTTCAGTGCAGTAAAATTTCGCGTCTTAAACCGTTAAAATTGTTTTATTTGAATGTCTAGTATTCGCGTAAACTACACATAATACTCAAGTAAAGTCCAGCCACGGTGGATGTCAAGCTATTAAATTCATTATTATTACACAATTTTTAGATTTTAATTTTCTAATAAACGAAAAAAACACAGCTATAAATTAGGTCACACTTTTCTGGCTAGCCACAAATTGGCAACTCAAATACATACTTTTTCCATTGAAACTTGTACTTAATTAGATGGCCAAGCTGGTCTGACCTCCCACACGAATCTCTCCGTAGTGTTTGTGAAAGACTGTGACGGGTCGGTGGGTCACGATAACCTGGACATCGGGCACAAAGCGGAATTAATTCGGTCGGAACAATTACTTTGAGGCAATGTTACTTTTTCTTGCTTTAATTGGATAGTTTTGTGAATGGACCCTTTGTTCATAATTTGGTTAGAGAACTTTATGACAGACAAGTAGGTATACCTTCATCCACTTGAGTTTTAATTCTAACTCGCATCTAATTTAGGTACGAACGTGGAAATCCACAGACTGGTTTTTCACCAGAGTTCCCAGACTGTTCACAAACACAGTTATAGTGCAGATTTTGTAGACCATGTTAAAATAAACAGGTAAAGTTCAGAAACATACTCGCTCGTGAGATCGCTTGAATAATCTGGACACTGGCATAAGTGGAAGGAATATTAAAATTCTATCCATCCAAAAATAGAAATACATGAAAC